GCTGGAATAACACAGTTTTAAGGAGGTTTGCAACACCAGAATGCATGACGCTCTAGACATCATTATCTACATCACTCTCTCTCTCTCTATGTATATATATATACAATTATATTCATATATAGCCAAGGATAGACAGATCAATGGATAGGTTGCTAGATAGCTGGCTAGGTTGCTGGTTAGGTAGCTGGCTTGATAGCTAGCTAGCAGATAGATGGATGAGTCTACATATAGCTCAATATATTGCATATTATCATATATACATATAATATTATATAGAGAGAGTAAGTCACATAGAGAAGCAGATAGATGGAAAGACAGACCGATGCATTCATCTGCTGTATGTCTTTAAGCACTGCTCTGAAGCTGTTCAAGCTCAGCCCAAGCATCCAACCGCCTACTTAGACATTCGAATTAAGGGTAATCGTGTTCCCGCAGATTCAAATCTCTCTCATAGACGCTGACCAACCGCACCGTTGCAACACCACCACCTCCCAAGCCGAACTCCTTAACTCTCTTTCAGACTAGCTTGACTTGAATGTCGGCAAACTGAGAGACTGAAGAGAAGCTTACAAACACATATAAACACCAGACCGTCCAAATCATGACTTTACCGTCTCAACGCCAAGCGATTGGCCAGGCGCATTTATCGATGGTGCTTCCGACTCAGAGTCTGACAAGTGCTGAGAGATCTGAGAGCCTTGGCCAAGTGGTGGTAACTGCGTTGAACGGACGGTATCCAGCCAAAATCAACCAAATTACTGGCCCCATGCTTAGATCATGTTGACACTTAAAGTGTACCCCATCATTGTCGGAAAATGGCAAGCGGCAAGTTCTATTGTTTTTCATTCTATCTGCAAGCATCCACTGTTCGCAGAATAGATATCCCCAGCTAGTCTCCTTGATCATTGTCTGCATTTGCCCCAAGAAAGAAGTTTTTGAGTAAAATCATTCGACCCAGCGGTCAGACAGGAGCATAAAGGGTAACGCGTCCCTGCCAGTAAGGGCGCCAAGCTTTATAGGTCTATGCTTGGGAGGTTAGCTTGATTAACCTTGATCAACTTTGATATTTTCGATTATCTTTGATCGTTGGTTCATGTCATTCTTCTATGTCACAGTGGGCCGACGGAAGACAGCTTGGATCTATGTTGGTTCACAATTAGTTGTCAATGGTTTCAATCTCCAGGACAGCACATTCTTGTGGGCGAGTCAAATCGCGATGCTTTTGTGAGACTTTTGCGAAGTTCCTCACACGTGTTGCCGAGAAACTGGGCGTAGAAACTGCCACATCTATTCAAATCTTCTGTGAACTGTGTGGCATGAGGAGTATGATTCAAAACCATTCAAAACTGAATCAGCTCTAGAGTTGCTTTCTTGACTGCACTCAATGGTTTAAAGCTTAGCCTCCATCTCAGATCATCTCAGAGTTTAGACACCAGGTCTGAAGATTTGCACAGTGGTGTGGCAGCCGTGGCAAACACCCAGCCATTAACTTGGCCGATCGCTTGAACAAAATGTCTTGCACCAAATCTGATGGTACCGTGTCAGAAATTGTGGCCGCTTTGCAGTGGTAAATTCTGCGCCACACGGATTCTACCACAGCCAGAAAGAACTGATGTCATGAAGGCGGAAGCCCTCAAATGGCAAAGCTCGCAGAAAGTACCTTCGGGTGTGGTCAATTCTGGAGGAAATGTTATCCTTAGAGCCTCTAAATTATTAATATGTAATATATATGCATATATTTATAGATATAGATATATTGAGACACTGGCCAAGTGGAACAGCGAAAAAAGACCTGCTTCGGTGGTTCCAGGACCTGTATCTCAGCTTGGTGGAGCACGGAAACGGTCGCAACCTGATGTTGCCCATCTCAGTGTGGATCCCCAAGACGAGTCTTGGGACGCAATGCCAAACAGCTACTGTTGATGATTATGTCAGTGGTAAAATGTGCACTATGACTATGAACTATGAGATGGTAACGTAGTTGGACCGTGCAAAACACATCATTCTCTCGAAATCTGTAGAGTTTTTGTGCAGCATCGATCTTTGTGTCATGCCTTTAGCCCTCGGAAAGCTCCAAGGCTCAAGGTCGAATGGCGCGCAGTCACCTCCCACAACAGCTGGGGGCCCTGGGATTCCAGGGATGCCCTGGGATGCGTGCCATGCCAGTTGTGATACATAGTGCCATTGAATAGCATTGATATACAGCTAGTGGCAGCTAATACACTACTTGTTCGACGTTCAGACACAGCGCATCGGCAAGCTGAGGGTACAATTAAGATGAGGACCCTTAACTGACAGATCGGAGGTTTTTGAAGCCAAGTGATTGGAGAACAACATATTTAGATGATGTATCTTCCATCGCACATTTATGCGGTGAGTTCTACACAAACAAGCTAAGAATCTACAGCATATCTTGGTTTCCAGGTCTTTGATCCCAGAAGAAGCAAGCGCTGATCATGGCACAAACATCTTCAAGAACCAAGGTGGGACAGTGTGGTGCGCTACGCGGAAAGCACTGGCCGCTTGCCAGGCGCCCTTGAAACAGACTGCAAGGGAGTGCCACGGAGTGCAAAGGGGGTGAAGAAAGTCAAGTGCAGCGGTTGGGATGAAAAAGGCTCCGCTATCTTTTCACCATGAGACAGCTGCCGTTGATGATGTAGATGTAGTAGAAGATGATGATGATGACGATGATGACGATGATGACGACGAGATGAAGATGAAGATGAAGATGAAGATGATGATGATGATGATGATGATGATGATGAGGACGACGACGACGACGACGACGACAATGATGATGATGATGATGATTATGACGATGATGATGATGATGATGATAATGAGGGTTACAATGAGAATGACAACTGTGATTGAAGCGCGATGAATTTCTATCCTTGCTTGTGTTGACATCAACGCATCCTAACTGGTTGTGGTGGTATGGGGTCTTCTCAAACAACAGAATGAAGGGGGCCTCACAGCACAAATTTTGTCCTGTCAGCTGGCCTTACAACGTTTCGGAACAATTTCGAAAGGCTTGACATAGAATGCCGTTCTTCAAGGCACCCAAAATGCTCTATCATTTCTTGGTAATCTGAGGGGAAAAATGATGACATCTGTGGATCGCTGTAGGCAGGGCAAATGAATCATCGTCGGAGTCACAAGCTGCACCGGAAATGTATCTGAGTCGTTTGCATATCTATCCAAAATGGATTTGCAACCGTCAGTGAGTCAGTATATCTTCAGGCTGAACCCGCCGTGATGTAGAGTTTATATATATGATAGAACTCCACATATGCAGTTTGCAAGCGCCCCCCAGTGCCCTCCCAGTGCCCCTGCCAGGTATGCGTTACTAGATAACCCCGTTGTGACAGCCTCGGTAGTTGTAAATAGTTTGGAGGTGTTCTCCACAGCGAGGAGGATTCTTGTGGCGCTTTGTCCTGCTTTTGGCTTGCGCTTGGATCCACTATCAGTCTTTTCTGGCAAGAATGCTGAGTGTTCAGAAATGATGCATCTGTAGTCTGCTGACTGACCTTTATATAACTCTACCACGTGTTCTTTTCATTTTTAAACACATGTTTATTTAAAGTCCTTCAATCGATCCAAGAAGCTGCCAGATTGCCGGCCAGCGCCAACTTGAACTCGTCGCTCCCCGCTTCATTCAGGGATCGGCAGTCGTGTTTGCCGCTATGGCCATCACGATGGCCATAGGCCCAGCAGACTTTGATCCCTGGATGCTGTAGTTCATAGATTCCACAGCCCGGACCAAAATGCTGTGCTCAGGCCGGCCTTGGCCGGCCTTTTTTGGGATGGGACATGATGGTACTTTGAGCAGGAACTCGATCAACCACTTGAGGTTGCATTGGACGAATGTGGACGAATGTAGCATGTAAAGTTGAGGCATCAAATTTTTATTCTAGAACAATTGCAAACTGAATCAAACTAAGAAGGGTAGTGAGGTGACCTCATGCCTTTGCTCTTGGGCAGAATGCCTACAGTGCATACAGTCAATTCAACATTGAAGAGCAACAAAGTCCAAGTTGCGAAGTGTTAGGGAACTGCGCGATGCAATACGGCACTGAGCATATTTCCTTTTGGACATTTGGCTCTTGCAGAGACAAGTCAAGTGTTATTTGTCACGGGCTTTGATGGGGTTCGTGTTGCCGACTTAGCATGCCCCCCTTATCGAAGACAACACTCCACCACGAACAAGTCCCAGAATCCAAGATGCAGTGGCTGGATACCCCACTCCACAGAGTTAGAGACAGCAAGACATGGCCTCGGTATCTTGAATCACTCAACCTGACCTCACTCTTGGATTCAACATTAGCACCACCAGATTCTGCCCTTGCAACCGTGATTCATTGTTGACATTGCCAACATCAATCACATGCTACACAGGCGCAGACTCAACAACAAACAGCATTGAAGCACCACCACCACCGCCAACATTCATGCCAAAATCAAGCACCATTTGTTCACCATCATTAGCGCATTTGCTTCTTATTCGGCCAACTGACCGTTGGCCCGTCGCCGCCATGGCACGACTAGCACTGAATTTAACATCGGGCATCACGGAGTTCTCCAGTTGGATCGCCGAGAGTTCGTTGCGGGGAATGGGTTCGTTCCTATCATGGGGATCCATGAAACCACATGGCCTCAATGCAGAATGTAACGGGCTGACATCCCTCAGTATTGGACTCCGGCGCAAGTCATGCTATCTGTTTTGATTGAGGATTGTACCTCAGCCCGTAGATTTGGAATGATTTGGATGCATGGTGCATCTCAAGGTCGGATGTCCTTAAAGAGTATGTTCTCACAATTTGGAGAGGCAGGGTGCTGCGGCTGGTTGGGTTCAGTGAAGGTACCCCAGAGTAGTGCAATTTTTTAAGTTTTATTTTTCTGTTTTTTATTTATTTCTGTTTCACTGCTGCTTTGATTTGCTTTTCTGTTTTTCTTCATTTCCCTGCTTCTCTGCTGTTTGCTTTTCTGCTTGTCTTCCTTTCCTTGCTTCTTGTTTCCTTTCTGTTTCTTTGCTTCTCTGCTTCTTCACTGTTCTGCTTCCCTGCTGTTTTCTGCTTTTTTGCTTCTCAAGCCTAAATAAACCCGAAGCCGCACAATATAAATACACCCTACTAAATCTACCATCCTGAACCAACCCCCAAGAAACTAAAGCAACTCTAAGTAAACCCTTAAAAAAACTAAAAATCGGAATCTTACTCCAAACGAACCCTAAACCAACCCTAAATAACCCCAAGCAAACACGCACAAAACAAACAACCCTAAGTAAACCCTAAACAAACCTCTGAAACTTACGCTAAATAGACCTAAACCCACCCCAAATAAATCCGAAACCCACCCCAAATAGATCTTAAACCAAGCCTAAATAATCCCTGAACCAACTCTAACTAAAACTTAAACTAAGCTTAAATAGATCCTACAGAAATCTTAAACCAAGCCTAAAGAAACCCTAAACCAATCCTAAACCAACCCTAAATATTCCCCAAAGCCAACCCCAAAAACAACATATATAACAAGAAAAACAAAACCAACCCTAAATACCCTAAACCAATTCCTACTAAATGGCCGCTAGTCACAAACTACCATCCAACATGAAAAGTTTGAGCACCAAAGTGTCGCAAATATTACGGAAAATGAGAGGTTCGAACTCCAAGATGTTGCAATACCGTTGAAATGGCAGCTTCCAGCTCCAAAATGCTGCACGTTACAAGGAAAACGGACAGAAGAGCAGATCCCCCCAAAAAACAAAACGGAAAAAACAAGTCTCAAAACAATTCCGGACCCAGATAAACAATGCGTTCCCAAACTGGTTACCTTGACCCATTGCTTTCCTCATCACATGATAATCAAGATAGACCACTTGGATTTTGCCGGGCGACCTTCCGATTTTAGGGAACTTCCCGAAGATATAGTGAGGTGTGGGGCAGCCGGTCCTAGTGGTTTTGGACATGTGCCGCAGGTGACCAGTTGCTGGGTGCCGCCGGTGGAGGCCCGGCGCAAGGAAACTGCCTGGGTGAAGTTGGAGGGCCCAGCGACGCAGATTCAGTCATCGCAATGTCAACTCCCAAGGTTGATTACAGTAATTGTATGTATATACATATATAGATATACATACATTGACATAGTCATATAGTTATATATATATATTAGTATATATATATATATAGAGTTATATAGTTATATATTATATATATATATATTGAGTGGGTCCTCCAAAAATAGAGATAAATAATATATTGTGATATTTAGATTGCTGGGTACTCCACTCTCCGAGGTTTAGCACCAGCGCCCAAGCAGAGGCCTGGGCTTCTGGGTCCCCCTGGGATGACCCTTGAGCTGCTCGATGGGTTGCCGATGCCAGGCCGCCCTCTTGGCCGTGCAAGCGGGGCAGATCTACTTAGACGGCGTTAAGGTGTGGCAGGGCATGTTTTTTTCGCCATTTGCCAATGGGGAAGAAAGTTTGGCACCTAGAGATGGTCAAAGTGAAGGTCTTAATAGATATAACTATTAACTATTATAACTTATAACCATAGATTTTCAATATTTTTCAATCATTCACCATCTCATCTTTAAGATCCATCTTCCACAGATGTCGAAGTATCTTCTGCTCAGAGATTGTGGCCAGTTCTCGGCCAGGTTGAGGCGGAGTGGCGAAATGCACCAGCCAAGACGCAGGTGCCGATTTTGCCGGGCTTCCCATAGGAATTGATGTGACATTTCCCACCAGTACCCAACCTGGTTATGACTAACAGTTCGCCATGGTTTTTCGATGGCCCTAATCGAAATAGATGGTTTACCGTTCTTAATTTCAATGGTATAGATGGCCCATCTATAGATGGTTTACCGTTCTTAATTTCATGGTGGATCTTTCCATGGCGAACTGTGAATGTCATAACCAGATCCTGGCTCCAGCTGCGCCAGGATAGCCGTGATTTCGATGCCAAGGGCAGCAACCTCTTCTCTTCGCGAGATTTGATGTTTGACGCCTCAATGGGAGGGCCTCGGGGGAGACTGGAGACAGGCTGTGTTTCCAGGGGAGGTCAGTAGAATATAGTAGAATCAGTAGAAGTCCTGGAAAGACATTGCCTCGCCTTTGTTGATGTATTTGAACATGTTTGAATATGACATTAGTGTTTATGCTAACGCCACCCATAACGACGCGCGCTTTTTTAGATGTTGGGGTGGGGTGGGGTGCGCAATAACGTTCTTTATCGACGTCTTCATAGACTTGCACACCAAGTTCACGCTACGCTACAAGATCTTCTCTTGCACTTGCACAGAACAAGTTATGGAACACTTGAAAGCAATTGTTTGACCAGCAGCACAGACAGCAGAGAAGAAAGAAGTGAGTTTTCATGATCATGATGTTCATGAATAACTTGATTGAAGACCAACATGAAAATGTCCCGCATCATTCCGGGCGGCGTTACCTCGTTTATGATATTCATGACATGCAGTCTGACGTAATCTGCATAGATCTGCATAGCGCAGTGCACCTGGTAGGATGGACCGGATGCGGAAAGAACAGCGAGAAGAGAGAAATCGCCATGGCCTGGATTCCCAGCCGCTGTAGGCTGCCAGCTGTTGTGCCTCCGATGTAGATTCCTCCGGACGTGGAACGTTTCTCCAGCTTGACGTGGGAGATTTCAGCAAACATTGCAATATATATATATAGTATATATATGATTACAGTGTAATTATATATATAATTATATACATATATATATATAGTGTATATATATAATTATATACATATATATATATATATAGTGTATATATATAATTATATACATATATATATAGTGTATATATATAGTGTATATATATGGTGTATATATAATTATATACATATATAATCATATAATATATATACATACACATATTACACACTAGCAAAATTGCAAACCAGTATACACAAGTACACGCCATTCCGCCATCCGCAGCCAGGAGGTCGTGATCACGACCGACGGCGGCGAGATCATAGAAGTCGAAGTCGGGACTGATCTCGCCCACAGTGTAATGTACTGGTCAATGGATTGGTTCAAGGGAAAATCTACAGGAAACCATAGATTTTCCCATGAAATATGGTGCTTTCCTGTAATTTTTCCCTTAAACCAATCCATTGAACTGGTTGATTCGTAGCCATTGGTGAGCCAAGAAGCCAGGCTTGCCATTGCTAGAGCCTATGATATCTATGATTGTGAACGTGGAATACATGTTTGTGAGTCAGTAACAGAGTTGGTGCAAGACTGTACGTTGGCTGCTTTTCAAGTTGTTCATTAAAGCCAAATGGGCCCTCGCAACGCAGCAAGATATATAGACTTGGGATCTCATGGTGGCCTTGTCTGTGACCATGGAATACCATCCATCATAACATGCCTCGAAATTAAGACTTGCCCCAATTCTCCTGCCGCAGTGATCACAGAACATGCCACAGGACAGGGACCGAAATGAAAAAAAAGAGGACAGGGACAAGCAGAAGAAGAAGAAAAAGAAGAGCAGTCCCTTGGTAGCAGCTCAATGTGACAGGAATTCCTCCATCAACTTCAAGGACCTGACTTGGTGAATAGTTTCATGTCAAGAAGTTCGTGGACGAAGCTGGGTCCTTACATTTGATATCTATCTATCTGACTGTCTATCTATTTATTAATCCATCTATTGCTCTTTCTTTATTTATTTTTGTTCTCTCTCTCTCTCTCTTTTTCTTTCGTTCATTCGTTCGTTCGCTCGTTCGCTCGTTCGTTCTTTCTATCTCTCTATCTCTTTATCTCTTTATTTCTTTACCTCTCCATACATCTCTGACATGTATGAATATATTCAAATGACATATCCACTTATATGCACTATATGGGAAACGCATGAAAGACGCGGCTAAGACTTGTGATTTATGGAGTAATTAGGCATTATCAGGTCCTGTTTTGAGACCACCTTTTTGTGCTTGGAGTTTTTTGTTGTTGCCTTGACCGGCCTTGACCAACCCATCACAAGGTGGGCCCAGTGTTTAGTTGACCACTGACGGCGGGCACTTGTTTGACATTTGTTGAGGTAACCAGGTGATCCATCCTCATGTTGCAATATCATGGAATATCACCAGGGATGTATCGGGCTACACCTTGGCCAGGCAGCAGCAGCAGCAGTAGCAGTCTGGCTCCCAGTATTTCCCAGTCTGGGAGTGACTGTCACAGAAGTATTTGAACGATGTCAGAAATGGCAGAGTTTGTTCGACGGTGTGGGTGAGACCCTTGTTCGGCCCTATGCAGACATATTGCAATCATGTTGGGCCCAGGTAGCAAAAGCAAAGAGAAAAAGGATGGAGAAAAAGGAGGAGCGGCAGACGTATGCATCTTGATTGTGGACATTTGCGGACTGATTGTTGCAGAAATATCATTTTGAATGCCCCCAGAGAAACAGTAACTCTCTCCGTCGGTATTCACACAAGTAAATCTTGATGTTCCAAAACTGAGTTTCAGCTGCTTCCAGGCAGCTCCTGTAGGTGCCAAATGATATCAACATACTTTGATCGACAGAACGGCAAAACCACAGAGCATTGAACTGTGAAGCATCGCATCATCTCGCACCACATCCGCCCAGTAAAGATTGTGCGCTTGCCCGCGTCCAAGAAGGGCGGTCGGGCCCTGAGAAGTTGAGTGCCTTTGCCACACCTTTGCCACCAAGTTCTGACAGGCTAAACGGCTAAGCCATCGAAAACAATTTAACAAGCAGATGCTAAGAGAGATACTTGCTGATGATTACCAAAGCTCCTAAAATCTTCTAAAATTGAGCATTCAATCACAAGCGAATTAACGCGCTAAACATTTCAGAGCCCGGGACCCCTCAGATACAGGGTCTACAGATGTCGATCTCTGTCTCAGCTTCAGGTCCCATAGAGATAGACAGTGATTGACCACGGTTGATCCATATAACGTGACATGTCAAGTCGTTCAAAGAACGAGCAGTTGATGCTGACCGCTCTGTTCAAAAAGACGTTTGCTGATGAGACCTTCAGTTTTCACACTGTGTGGACAGGTTGGTACTTTGGGAGGTACTCAGCTTGGACACGTTTGGACCATCCACATTGTCGATGGGTGCTCTTCATGGTTTGTGTTTTTGGTTTTACGATGATTGTTGCGAGCGAACCTGGTGGCATGAATCATGATAATTACCAAATATGATACCTACATGTGCACAGCGTCTTGTGAAAGGATTCTCCACAGAAGGTGCGGAGATTCCGGTTTCAGGTGGTTTTTCAGTTGCTCAGCAGGGCTGAGCAAGGCCAACCCTATGGCGAGCTTGGTGCCCTCACAGTGTCCCATGAGAAAACCCGTGCTTCCCTATCTTGGCTCAAGTTCGCCAACTCTGGCACGGTCCGAACCATCTTCGTCAACTGTGTCAAGGACAAGGAAATCGTTGGCATCTCTGAATCCCACTGAATCCATTTGAATCCAACAAGTCAGCTTGCGCCATTTTTGGTTCCATTGTTCCACTTTTCCAAAGCTGGTCGCTTGCACTGCATTGGCGGGCACTTGGGCGAACGACCAGTGCCTGGCCTCATGCGGCTGCAGCCTGGGTCTGTTGAGGAATTGGGGCAGCCAAAACGTCACAGCTAGGTGTACCTTGACGTCGTGGCTGGATAAAATTGCACGTTTTGTCGTGCTAGTCATCCAGTGCATTTTGGCCTTGGCGCAAAAGAGGAATGTACGGAAGGAAACCTCTTACTGTTAGTAGAAAGTAGAGATAACATGTTTACACAACTCCATGTTGAATAGAGTAGGATTTGTTGAATCTCATCTCAAGTTGTTCTTAAATCAATTACTGTAAAGGACCGTATAACCCCGCAAGCCAACTTCTTCCAATAATAACAGTGGTTGAAGCGGTACTTCGGAGTTTCGACAGTTGTTGTGGTTCGGCTTTTCACAGTTTTCACATTTTTTCCCGAGAATTTCGGCGCTTTGCAGTTCAGGGTTTTGCATTATCCATCGGTCCACGAGTGCAGCTGGTTGCATAGGTGCTGGGCATCATGTTGACCTTCAGCTTCCAAGGCCAGGTGGAAAGTCATGAGATTTACAAGACAGTTACGTCGCTTTACATCCTGTTTCATCGTGTTACATCCTCTGGATGCTTCAGTACAGACATATTGATGATATTTGATATTTGATATTTGATGATATTTGATGATGTTTGATGATGATGATGATGATGATGATGAATGTATCGCAGAACGCCCAACGTCAAGCAAGATGCAGCACTAATTGCCTCTGCCACATCACATTCCTTGATATTCCTTGCCAACGCAGACTCGATTTTGTGCAACACTACAGTTGACTGCTAAAGTCGTGCCTAAAATTTGGAAATCATCGTAAATAGTTGGGGAGCACTTGATTTGAAAAGTCGTGCCTTTTTAGTAAAACGCATAGGAATTGCAATGTGTTGTTGGATTTGGGCATGACTTAGGCATGAGTTTCTTGAAACAGCGATTCCATGGTGATCTACTAGCAAGTTTTGACCCAGGCATGAGTTAGGCATGAGTTTGTCATTTGACTGTACTCCCTTCTGTGGTTGTTTACTGATTTTGAATCATTGGTGAAAGCTTCAGCATACCTCTCATCCTTGATCCGCCGACCTGTGGTCGCGCACTTTCATGCGAAATCACCGTTTTTCCATCCCTGTGCACTGGAAATTCTCACAATGAGCAGGGAATCCCCGTGAAACAAGCTTTATTTTGAGTGAGATTTACCCTCTGGTAAATTAACATAGACCCTGAAAATCACCAATTTTTAGAGGAAACTAATCTTCCAACCCCTATCTACCAGGGTCTATGTTAATTTACTGGAGGGTACCTATTTTTCAATATTACAGAGGATTACACTGCTATAAAACAATGTAAAACCACAACATACCACATACAAGCCATATTAAACCCATATTAAACCCATATTAAACCCATATCAACCCATATTAAACCCATATTAAACCCATATTAAACCCATAATAAACCCATATTAAACCATATTAAACCATATTAAACCCATAAACCATGAAAAAATATGCAAACAATATACTACTACTACTACTACTAATAATAATAATGTATATATATTATATTATGTATAAAATTCACACAACCAAGGACTTTTCCCATGTCGTTTTTCGTCACTGCTCACCAGGTGTATCGGCTCCTCGTTTCGAGGCCGCAGCTCCAAGGTGGGCGATCTCGGAGACTGGGCCATTACCAGAGGGTAACAGCATACAACAGATATATGTAGGGAATATGTTAATAACTGTTAATATGTTAGATGTATATTTTGCATTATCTATTTATAGTTATAGATGATACGATTTTTTTCTATACACTTGACTTATACACTTATGTATATATATATATATATTATATATATATAATCTGACATATATTGGTATGTTTATACATAGGATCGATGAAGGTATGTGAGAGTTCTGACAATTTGGGCACCGAGATGGTGCCAGATGCACCGATTCTGTTGGTACTTTCTGATCTTTTTTGCGGAATCAGCAAGCAGATTCTTGTTGGCAATTTACTATAGATCTGCATAGATCTCATTAGATCTCTACCTAGCGAAACCAAAACCTTACTTTTTGTAGGTCCCAGGGTGAAAACCGAGCTTTCGAGTGAAATGCATGCAAAACCTAGGTTTCCTGGAGAACCTCACTTTTGGTAGTATATATAGCTCAATCATATATTCTATCCTTTCATGATATTCAATGGTCGTTCTCATCATATATGCCTTATATATATCATTTGAATTGCACGCTATATTTAATATGACCATCATCTACCATCACCTTCCCCTCTATCAACCGGTTGCTGCCCTTTTAGGCGCCATCGCCTTCTGGTCCAGGAACATCGCGACGAATTTGCAGCAATGTCTCTGGAAAGTTTGAAGTATATCTTGATGGACTATATATATGGCTACATATATAATGCTACATATATGAGATGCCCACAATGATATATAATGATAAGGTGGCCAAATGTAAATGAAACCATGGGGCAACCACAGAGCTACGCCAGCTATAGTGAGACAAAGCTGAACGCGACCGCTTTGAAGGGTTGTGGTTTAAATGGCAATTCTCAAGTTATAGTTCTGGGTTCCCCCCACGACTCAACAACAATATACAAATTTAACATACACACCTCACCTCACCCGTTGCGGGGTGCCATGGCAAACGCAGCCCACTCAGATATGAGGCGTGGTCCTGCGCCGGGTGCTCTTCTCTCAAAATCTGATATCCAACAATTTGAAGGGTCATAAAAATGAGATGATCAATGATGCGCAGAAACAAATGAAGTTGCAATGAACTTAATCAATTGGTTTTGGTTTACTTGACCAAGTGGGATCAGCAAGGTCCATGAACATTTAAAAAGGAAACGCATGTGACATCATGACTCTATATATACGCAGCATTTTGCTCAAGGAGTTGTGCTGCACCTCTTGTGCGGGGGGTCATGGAGAAGGAGGCTGACAGAGCCAAGTTGGATGTGAGTGATCTAGGGGTCTTGCTTGAAAAAGAAGAAGCGATTAGAACTCATTTACGCGACTCTGAAAACGTTCTCTTTGCTGGAGAAACCAAGGAAAGTGTCAAGGTTGCTTGCACTGCACATATCAATGTGCTGCTACGTGTTGTTCTCACCAAAGTGGTGGAGACGGAGGGAATGCCCCAACCCCCTATCCACCCCCTTCGGGATCAGTTAGAGCTCCTGTACCACAAATGCGGCCGCGTCAGTGTTGATACTGACCAAATCATTCGCGACTCCTGGTACGTCAGAAAGTTCGTTGGATTGGTCAAAATGAAGACACGGAAAGAGAAAGTCAGCGAAGAACCTAGTCTCGAGTTCAGGAATGCTTACAATTTATATCTCATTCGTCCTTTTCCATGCAAATGACAATATATCTTTTGATTCGCATTAGATGATGTTTTCATGGCAATCTCACCGCAATCATCCCTATCTAGTTTTAGATTTGGCATTCCGCTCAGGAGAAAGACTTTCAGAAATTGTGTCTGATCCTCAACCCAGAACTGAAGGACCGGGGGTCTGTATCCAGGTTTGATTTGAGGATCAGGGCTCCGTTGTTAACCAATCAATATCGACAATTTACATACGACCTCATGATCATACAATGGGTCTTCGGAAGGATTGATGTTGTTCATCTTGATATGGTCTTTGATCAGGATCTATGTGATGAGATCAACAGGAACGTTGAGTTGAGACTTCAACGCAAGAAGGAACGTCAGGCGCACAAGTGACCCAGGACATCCCAAAGTTTGGTTTCGCCTTTTCATGGCATGCATGCATGCAGCAACTTAAATATATATGACCAACATTTGAATATTCAAAGATTGCCACCAACGTGTTTCTGCCTGAGTGTCAACATGTGTCCACTGATGGAAACATGACTTTCATCCCGCACAGGCACGAAAGAAAGGACTGATTTCTACTGACGATGCTTATGATGATTCCAACAAAGGTTCTGAGTCTGAGAGTTCCCATGGCGAAGACAGTGATAGCTCTAGTGGGAGCAGTGATGTTGAAGGGGTAGATATTGATGCCGGCACCCATCCGGCTTCATCATCAGCCCTAGTCGGTGAGCCAGCTCAACCAGCCCGAGCCCCTGCCGCTGCTGCAGCCCCCGCCACTGCTGCAGCAGAACCGGCTCCTGGTGAACAGCCTGAAGAGGTAGCACTCCTGAGTGTTGGGCTCAGTGACTCGGGGGTCAGCTTAAGTTGACCCAACGCATGTTGAAACTTTTTTCAAAGACGCCAAAGCAATAACATGTGTTGTCATTTGATTTCATGGGTGTCTTCTGATCCCTGGTAAATATAGAACAGGGTTCCAATAACTGCGAATGAGTTTCTGTTCAAAACCATTTTCCTCAGGTCAGGTGCCAGCTGCAGACGCAGCCCAGCAAAAACTATCCATGGACTTGGAAGAGGCCAAAAAACGTT